ACTGCTTCCCTTTGTGAACCACAAAGTTTCTTCAACACTGCAGCCCTACTTTGACAAACTGTAAGCACAAGCAGAAATGTTCCTTGTACACTGGAATTGCTAAATAATTGGTTTCAGAGAAAAACAGTGATCTAGGGAGCCTGAGCTCAGATGTGTCTACATCTTTATGTGGGACTGCTCACTGCTCTTTCAGAGTGGAAGGATCAATTACTGGGTAACCCTCAGCACGCCAACCCTGCACCCACCAGGATCACCAACTACTGCCAGAGTGAGCACATCAAACCCCAGGGGTCTGTAGGACCTAACACACTGGTAGGCCTGCCTGTCTGTCTGACCTCTCCCAAACATCTCAGCTGATCTCCCCCATCACCACATCTCCTGATAAACTCACACGGGCAGCTCCACAGCAGCTCTGGGCTCTTCGCTCCTCTGAAGGCTTTTGACTTACTGTGAAAATGAGTAACTAGAATAACCCAAGGGAGAGGGCAAAAGAGCACCTCCACTCACAAAGTATGACAAAGCTCACAGATAGAAGGAATTATTACATCTATTTTTAACATCAAGCCAAAGCTTAAGGAGACAGTAGCACTTTTACTCGTCAAGATTTTTTCCGTTACTAAACCCTCCCAACTTTCTACAGATCATGAGTAGGAGTCAAAAAGGTTTTAAATTCTGCTCTGCTCCATCCCCCCTTATTCTTTGATTCTTCAAACTTTCCTAGTTGCTGTATTGGATTTTTAGCTGCACAGAAAAGTTTCTTTAAAAAAACACAAGCCAAAATTTTCATAGGCTTTCTCTGGCAAGATAATGAGATATCAGAATATTAGTAATGAAAACATAAAAATGATTCACAAAATTCATAATTCTATTCAGGGCTCAGAACACTTCCTTTTTTCCTCCCCTAAACATAGTGCCATCAATCATCTCTAGCCTTGTTCTTAACTTCCAGATGTTAAACATTTTTATGACTCCAGAGCAACACCTTATTCTCACCTCAGCATGAAAGGTGGAAAAGCCCAATATGATAATTTCAGATGCAGAGGAACCCATGTGTATCTGAAACACAGATTATATAACCTGCAAGGCACAACTACCACCAAACCTCAGCTCGACCCAGGCTAATTCATTTACAGATACTTCCATTGTATCTTCAGCATGAGAGGTGGAAAAGCCCAATATGATACACTTCAGATGCAGAGGAACCCACGTGTATCTGAAACACAGATTATAGAACCTGCAAAGCACAACTACCACCAAACCTCAGCTCGACCCAGGCTAATTCATTTACAGATACTTCCATTGTATCTTTCTTCCAGAGATGTCAAAGAACTCTGTAAACACCACCACAAAGATGCCAAACAAGCAAGGGGAAGGAGAGAGGCTGAAGTCAAATGTTAGTAGGAGTTCCAGGAAAAAAATTAAAGTAAATAATACCCCTGCACCAAATTACAGATTACTGCTGCCTTTGTCCAACATGTTTTATTCACAAAAACTTTTTTCTATACAAGAACTCTCCCTCTGACACTTACTTTGACCATGGCAACAAAAGGCATAACCTTCTTCATGTACTTCTTTAGCTCTGGCAGGGCGTTAAGCTCACTGGCAATGACTTTATTATCTGGCAGTTGACCTCCACTGACCTAAACATCAATGAACATTCATTAAAAAGTACAGGTAACATAAAAAAATTTGCCCTTTAATATCATATACCCTTCTTGCTTTCCCATAAATACCAGCAAGGTTCATCAGTATCATTAAGCCTACATACTATAATTTTATCATCCTTTCAAAACATTTCAAAAGTAAAATTTTAAAGCTCTGACCAAACAAAATCCCAGATAACTGCCATTCAGGCAACTCAGGATTATTCTGCATTTTTTTTATTCCTTTTGGTGACTATATATTAATATACTTAAATTTTCTACCAGAATGTATTTTAAATCCACATTTAAGCCTTATCACAAGCACGTTTTTAAGCACTATTTTCCTGAATTGTTTGGGGTTTGCATTCAAAATTTAGGTATTTTCAACAATCCTATTTACTGCATCAGACCAAACACCAGATTTTAATGCTGATGCAGAGAAAAACTTATAGAATGCCCAAAGTTGAGTACCCCAAAAGCAAATTTCACATGAGGAATACTGGTTTATCTCAATAACACAACTGGAGTAGTCACGGGTGGCTCTCATCTGTCAGCTGCAACACAGATTTGCTCAGGCTGAGAAGGATGGCTCACCAAGATGCCAAAAGCCACTCTCACCAGTTTCCCATGTCAGAAGCACAGACTCTGCTGCTTCCAGAAAAAGCTTATTATGACTGTTGTGTTGCATTTCAACATATTTCTTGCAACACTGCTGAAGGCTTTACGCCTACTCAAGGACCAGGACAATGCTTCTAAGCCCCCTCGCCTAGTAAGGCAGCATTACTTTGTCAGTCAGTGTTTCCTCAGAAATACACTTGGGAAGGATATTTTAAAAGCTAACCACTTACTAATGAAAAAAATAACAGATCATGGGCCATTTTTTATTCAGATTGACAAAACCCAATCAAATCATTCTGTGAAATCAATGACATTCCTTGCGACATTTCCATTTAGCACCAAAATTTGACAGTTGTAAAAGCATAAAGAAAATCCAATATATCTTGCTTTATACTTAAATAATTTGGTAAAAAATTACAGCTTATAAGCTTTTTACAGTCAGAAGAAAACAAAGAGCCCAGAAAAAAGCAGGTAAGCATTCTAAAGAAGCACAAAAGGGTGCCCACCTGGTGGTGCCTGCGCAGGGCCGATAAGGTGGTGTGCTGCCATGGTGGGTAGTTCTTTGCCACGTAGATGGTACAGTGAGAAGGCTTCTGGGAAGGTTCCTTTGTACTTTTCTAAGAAAACAAAGAAAAAAAAAATCAGGAGGAGTCCTTAGGCACTGCAGAATTACCATGTGTGCACACTCCAAACCATGCTCTGGCACTCCCCACCTTTCCCTTTGCAGGTGCCCCGTAGCTCTTGAGCCGGAGCCGCAGCTCGTGGGCCGTCTCCATGAGGTACTGAGAGGAGCGGATCAACACCTCATCCACGGCCCCCGCCTCCGGCCAGCGGGCTCCCAGGATGGAGCTGGGCTTTGAAGAGAGGGAGAAACCACATGCACTGAGATGAAAACACACATCAGCACATTTTTCAGCCCATTACAGCCTGACTGGAACCTGGAGTTTAGCCAGCTTGGTCCAAACTCCTCCACTTCTACCCGGGCTGTAAAGCAGTAAGAATACAGCCACTAATGTTTATTTGCAACTCTCATGGACTGTACATGCAGTGAAACCTGCCACAGAGCTACAGAACTCCACCTACAAGCACAAGGCACTTAAAAAAAAACAGTTTCATGCGTAAGTGTTGGAATATTGCATTATCTGGTTTCATTTTAGATGACCTCTGTGAGTAGATAACCAAAGTGACTTGTATTAAAGTCACAGATATCACCATGGTAACAGGCTAACTCTGTATGTTCACTGTCCTATAGACAATAAGTTATCATGGCTCTTTGTATTGTAAGACACATTTCTTATACTTGCATATGAAGTCATCCATAAGTCTGATATGAGCCTAACTAAAAACCAGTAAAAGCTTAGATCCAAAGCAAATGACACAAGTGAAGCATTAGTACCTTTCCCAGAAGTGACCAGATGTGCTCACATAAGTGGGGACAGATGGGAGCCAGCAGCAGAGTCTGAACTTCAATAAACTGGAACACCAGCTCTCTGTGCATCCCTTCTATGGCCAGCTCCCGGTACTTGTCTTTAGCTGCCTGAAACACAGCCAGCAGAGCCAACATTAACACCCTCCCCCTGCCACAGAGGAACTGAGAGCACACACAACTCCCTGCACCAGTGTGCCCTGAGAATGTCAGCAGCTCAGATAACAGATTCTTACAAGAACTGTATTTTCCTGAAGCACCCAGTGTGAACCTGTCAGATGGCCACTTGATTTTTTGCATGAATATGGTACTTTTTAAAAAGTGTTTATTGACATAGAAATAAAAGACAAAAACATCCACAACCACATACCAGGTACCAACATCCCAAACCCCTGGCATAAAGAATCTCATAAGTACTAAGAAAAAGGCAATGAACATGACCTATCATCATACACAGAACTCAGCCAACTTAATCATGTTCCTGATATCATAAAGGCACCCCACAAAGAGGGTCTGTGATTCACCAAGTGAACTCCATTTCCTGCAAGGAGTTTCTTATTACAAAGGAGCAAAAGAAAGGGAACACTCTCTTTAATAGTGCCTTTTTTAGAGCAGCTTTCTGTTTCTATAAGGTATCAGGAGCATTTGCAACATCACAGTGTAGCTCTGCAAAATGACACAAGCAGACTTTTATAATTTCAGATTTATTCCATTAAAGCACTCTTGTGTCTTGGCACAATTCTGATTCCAATTCAGCTGTATAATTAAGGATCAGAGACATCAGGATCAAAAGAAATCCACAAAGTGGCAAACACCAGGTATTACGTTTCTTACACGTAAAAAAGAGACCTCCTACCTGAAATTCAAAGAAGCCAGTTTTCAGAGCTTCCTTAAACATCAACTTCTCATAATTTTGGTCAGTCTTCATTATGCCTGCATTCATTTCACTAAGGAGGGAAGTAAAAACACCAATATTGCATGGTCTACCCCATATAGCAGCAACCCTGTGTAAAACAACACTATCCCTGTCCTCAGTGCAGCACAATCCCATAGCCTGTTCTGTAGTTGGCTTTGGTTTATGGAATTCATTAATTTGTAGCAGACAAAGAAAGCTGCAGAGATGCTCCATGTAAGAAAAAAGAAGTGGGCCAAGCTGTATTATCAGCCTTTGTACAGTACCTGGCAAAGACTCTGTCGTTGAAGGTGTTGGCAGGGCCACTTCTTAGGCTGTCTTTGTTTGCAATCATCTCCTTTACCCACTCCACCCACGTGTAGAGACGAAGAATACCAGCATCTGCCATGGCTTCCACGAAGTTGGCATCTTCAACAGTGTCTCCAGCATCAGCCAAGGCTAAACGCATGCCTGAAGGAAAGATGGAGCACGTGGAGAATGAAATGGGGCCTCCAGGAGGTCTCGAGGAGCAGTTCTTGGTTGAGACAAACGTGCTAATATGCACCCTGATTTTCAGCCAAGAACAGGGGGTAAACAGTACACTTACTGCAACTCAATACTCCAGTAAACCCACTGCTCCTCTGAGAGCAAAACACTCATTTCAGTCACTTTGGCATAATTGAAAACCACAAGCAGGTCAGAACACACTTACCATCTGCAGAAAACTTGTCAACAGCTTGAGTTAGGGTAAGAAAGTTGCCTGTAGATTTAGACATCTGAAAGAAACAGAAGTCTGTGTTTTCTCACACATCCATTTTGCTGTTGGATCAGCAGGACCAATACAAGGCTCTGAGCAAAGCACAGAGAAAGTATTCTCTCCTGAATCACAGCATGAGCAGTTTGGTAAACCTGAACGAGGTCTCACAGCAGGAGCAAGATTAAACTTCATAAGCACTCATCGAACTCCTGAACGTTCCACTTGTCCTGAGACTCACACGTGTTGTAACCACACACACCACAGCTGCAGGGAAGCAGCAGCTGCCCTCTGCACCATTTGAGTTCCACCCCAGACTTTGTTAGGCTTTGAAAAATGGGACAGCTGGGACCAAAATTTAATGTAAGAAATTACCTAAATTAAACTTAAATGCTACTCCCAAATTGCTATTTTATGCTCATCCTGCATTGATTTTTCAGACTCTAGTGGTAGTTTTGTGCTTTGTATCAGACAGTCTCCAAGGCCCGATTCCTAGGTTCAGGCACTTCTAATTAAATTTTAGAACTTACATATATGAGCAAGTTACTGGCACAAATTCTTCCTGCTTACTGCACCCACCCCAAGGCTTAACAAAGCTAAAATTTAGTCCAAAATTTAAAAAAACCCTCATTCTACGTATTACCCTAAAATTTAACAGAAATGCACCAAACCCTTTACTAAATTGGTGAAGCTATTTGAGAGCTTAAGAGAAGTGTTACACAGAGTTGGAAGAATGAAAAACTAGAGGGACCAAAGAAGAAACTAGAATATTCACTAACTCCTCCTTTTAAATTCCATGAAAGATTTTTTCCAGTCTGTCTGCCAAGTGCCTATTTTGACAACCACAAAAGGCATCTCACACATGAAACCTCACTATACCTTTTCAGAATTGAGGAGGAGATGTCCATTTGCTCTCACAGCCACTGGCCATTTTTCTCTGTTTAAAGATAAGATAGAAGGCATTTGGTAAAGTACATCTACTCCCTCTTTTTAAAAAAGGAACAAACATTTTTTGTTCCAGTTTTGTTTGAACACCTCAAGTGAGAGCTTCAAAAAATACCTTGGGGGTGACTTAAAAAAAAGTGTCCTTGAAGATGAAAAGAACTCAAACTTAAAGGCTAGGGACTATCATTGCCAAAATGCAAAGCAGGGAGTGCTGTACCTGCAATTAAATTCATTTATCCCACCTCTCTGTTCAGCTATGTCTAATTTAAAGACCAGTGACTGGCATTGCTCAACAGCACTCCACAGAGCTGGGCAGGCCCCACATATCTCTTCCAGCAGATATCAAACTCCTCACAATCACCTTTACTACTCACCAGAAAACAGCTTTTCCTATATAGAGTTTTACACAACTCTTTAGTAGAGGTTGAAGGGATTGCAGACATGACATCTCCATGCCCAGTACTACATCCCTCTAAAAGCACCATGTGATTGGCAACGAATCTCAGCCTGTCCTGTGCAGTTCATGGGAATATACAAACTGCTCTAATGATCCTCCAAAAGTAACGAAGAAAACCTAATGATGATAAAGTCACTCACACTGCAGGATGGAAATTCACAGGAGATGTTTGGCCTTTATAAAACAGGCGTGAAAAAGAGCCTCAAACAATTCCAACATCAGCTGCCTTTGGATTTAGCTCTAGATGCTGCTACTCTGGATTGCCTCCTGTCCAAAGGAAGAAAGAGCCCTGAAGATGCAGCAACACTGCTTCACTGTGTTTCTACACAGACCCTCTACAGGAGCACCAAGCCAAGGTACTGTTCAGTTAGGGCATGCTAGATGCTAGAATTCCAGTGCTTGGAACAGACAGGATATCAGCAAGTCAACCTCTACCTGAAATAAAGTTTTAGAATTTGTTTGTAAGAATCTTGCATCTTAAAATCTTCAAAGGTATCCAGAAAAAAAAAAGGAGAAATAATAGTAAAAAGCCTTCAATTTCAATAACTTCTACTATAAAAAACTGTAACAAAGCTGTGCTATGACAGAATACATTTTCAACCTAATTCTAAATGTTGTACAGTACAAAAAAAAATGCACTGGCAAGCATATCAGAACTTCAAACTCCCTGGGTTTTCCTTCTGCACACCTGCTTATCTCCAAACTTACCTCTGATCTGCCCACATAGCCACGTGATTATAGAGGTAGTATGACAGATGATTTGGAACAAGATCTTTGCCAGAAGCTCTGAGATCCACAGGATACCAAAATTCAAACTCCTCCTTTAGCTTGTCCAACTTTTCCTTTGGAATCTCTGTTTTAGGAAATGGAGCTGCCTTGAAGAAGATGTAATCCCAAACTTCTCTGCTCATTTGATGTGCCCTGCACAGAATCAGTCAGTCCCATATGGAGATGTCAGTAAAAGTTCCTCTTACACTCCACAGCAGTTTGTATAAGACAGCTTGAAGCCATTGAGTCACCCTCACAACAAGCTCCACTTGATCAGGAGAGCCAGCATGGACAGAGCATACAGGTACTTTGTCAGATGAGCAAGTCCAGCATCAGAAACAAAATCAGAACTCAGAACTGCCCAAACCCTGCACTGCCTAAACTGCCCTTTGATATTCCCCAATAAAGCATGAAGACTCCCACTGAAAAAAAGTAAATAATAATTAAAGCATAATCTTGAACATCCTGGAAACCTGATCATTTCTTTTCCAGATGCCTATACCCCCACCCCAGCACCACTTGTGACCTTAACTGAGCACTGAACACCTATCACTGTTGGCTCAGCTGCACTGGGTCACACAGCCACTCCTCTTGGCTTTCACAAGAGGCAAAGAGCAGAGCACAAGAAAGTCATTCCACAACCCAAGGTTGCCTCCTGCATGGAAAAAATAGTGTTCTTCTCCCACTTTGAATGGAATTAACCCATTCAAAATTAACACTTGCTGTAAGATACATTTTACCAACTACTAGAGGTAGGATCCACAATTTTCAATGACAGTGCTGATGAGGTGCAGCTTAGGCCCACAGCTCTGCAGCCCCTGGCCTGTGTTAAACATCCTCCTTCCTTCTGCAGAGATTTTTATTTGCAGCTCCTTACAATTTCACTCAAGTCTGTCAGACACTATCTGCACACATTTCAAACCAAATCATTTCAAATCAAAGTTTACTATTTGTTAAGCTCTCCTAAGGTGCCTTGACCTGTATTGTGCAGGGAGGAAAATCACTCTTGATTCAAAGTACCTCCAATGTCTCAAGTAGTTCCAATGACAGTTGAGACCACCAGTCTAAAATAAAATCTCACCTGCAGCAGCTCACTGCACCAGTTCTGGCAGTGACTGTTCCATGCCTCACATTACTGTGCTGCCCTGCCACTCAGCTTCTAGGTTTTGTGCCAAAGATCATGGTGACCCAGTGGTGACTGACACAATGCACCACAAATCCCCTCTCACTTCACCCCACAGAGTGACTCTTACTAAAGTGTGCTTGCTAGCACTGTAAGAAAGAAGTTACCTGCTCGTGCTAAAGTACCCTCTAGTTGTATATACTTAATACATCAAATCTCTAATTCAGTGCTCAGGATGATCACTCCAAAGTTTGTCCCCAGCCATGACTCATATGTAGTAGCTTCTCTAGAATTGCAGAGTTTTGAACCAAAATGAAAGCCCTGCCAAGGCTTTCAGAACTATTTCCATTTGGAAGAATCTTTACTCTTTTTTTTTTTTTTTGAGATTATTTACAGCATCAAATAAGGCCAAGATCCAGTTGCAATGTGTAAACTACTTCAGGAAATAGTTGATAAAACAGGCAGAATTAGAGCCTAAGATTCAAGACAAGACTGTAAGTGGGTTCTTTAAAATTCCAGATGAGTTGTCTTGTCTTATCTCATCTGACCTTTCACTGGCAGATCACAACCACTCTAGCCAAGAGGTGACAGAGCAGACCTAGGAGGTATTTTTGCACAAATGCCTTCTCCAGATGGAGAATCTAAGAATTACCAACTTTTTACACAGCAACAAAACTAAGTGCTAATCTTGCTCACTCTGTACACTGAAGCACACAATTTTTTACTATAGTTGCAAAGCAGTCTAAGTAAGCAGAGATGTTTCTGAAACCGATCACCCAAAACCACCTGGCAAGAACCATCTGAAGGCAAGTCAAACAAGCAATAAAAATGTGATTTCCTCTGCAGACAGTTCTGCTTTCAGCACCATTCCTCCTCTCTCTCTCTGGCCACTATACTCCTTTCCTTTTTTCCCTCTTGCAAATTTGCTGTGACTTAGCTGACAACAGATTAAGTTTTAACAGTGATGCTTTTTAATCACAAAAGCAGAGAATTGGACTCTGGGGCAAGTTTTTGTCAAGAACAATTCAGGAAACAAGCACACCAAATTAAAAAAGAAAAGTTAATGATCTGCTCCTTACTTGATGCCTAAAGGAGATTCTCCTTGGCCCCTCAGGTTACCTCCCTGTAACAGATGAGCCACTGTGTAGTAGGCCATGTAGATAGTTGAGTCAGAGAGAGACTCTATCAGCCACTGCTGATCCCAGGGCAGCCGGGTACCTAGAAGGGATGGAAGCCACGTGGCAGCTACAGTCAGCACCATCCCCACCCACACACAGCACACTCCAGCACACACAAGCAGTTTAGCACTTTCATTGGAACATCTGTATGCACACATCCATGCATGCAAGTACTCATGCTTATGCTTGTAAAAACTCCTTTTAAAAAAAATTCAACTTATGCATTTGAAAATTTTATTAAAATACTATTTTTGTAGTCGGCTTAATACAATCATCAAACATGTTTCAGCTCATGATGGTTTGCTGTGTATTCCAATGCAGCTCTAACAGCTGTCCCATGACATAGGCCACATGACAAACGCCAGTGAGAATTTAAGAACACCCAGGTGAAGTGACAGCACCACCCTCATGAAGCACTGAGTGAGAAAAGGAGTGTTTTGCCTACCTAAGCCATATGTCCTGGAGCACGCATGCTCTTGTAGCCAGCCTAATGCAGCTTCAAAATTTCTCCTAGTCTCTTCACAAAACCTGTAAAGAATAAGCTGTTACTCCCCTCAGCCCTCTTACATCACCACCACCAGCAGTCACTCCCTTTACACCTGCTTTTGTCACTCACGTCTCCAGATGTTCCAAGCACTCCAATGTCTGTTTCTTCCAGTTCTCTTCACCATAATCCAAATACCTAGTCAGGAAAAGTTTATTGTAATAAAGCAATCCACAAGTAGGATATAATTCAGTGGTAACTTTAAAACTACAGCTTTACTTACCACTGATCACAAAGGGCCACGACACATTCATCAGCAGACCTTGATATAACTTGTTTCTCAGGCTCCATATAGATCATGGCTTCGGCCTAAGAAATGAAAGGGCAAAAAAACCCCAAGATTTAAGTACTTTAGCAAAGTCTTGAAAAGCTTCACATCTTACTAAAAAGCATCTTCTCCATTCTGATCTGGTTTACAGCATTTGTTGCAGAGCTTTCACCACTGCACAGGCTCTCTGCCCCAGTGTTCCCTTCAGCAAAGTGGGGGTGACCCCTGACCAAGTACTTCTGGGGTCCCCGTTCAGCTCAGCCTGCAGTGCTGCAGCAGCACAGGAACCCTGTAAATACACCTACAGCCTCTCCCACTTCCAGGCCTCAACAGGAAAACCTTACCAGAGACAGGACATGGTCATTGCTCACCTGCAGCTCCCCCTCCTCTGCATGATGGACCCCAGAAACGGGGTGTTCACATGTCCCAGCCTTTATTGGCAGGCTTGAGAAAGGCTGACAATTCAGACCCTACACTTCCAGTACCTTCCCAATCATACCAAAGATTAAATCACACGACCAAAGTACGTCCTAGACATGATGTGATGAAGCAGGCAATAAGAGCTATTCATCCCACTTAGTCCCAGAACACAGGGTCATCCTTTTAGCAGTACTTTGTACTCCACAGCAACCCAAAGCACCACTAAGAGGTGCAGAACCAAAACAAAGAGGTTTCCTCAGTGACTCTGCTACTGAGAAAGGACAAAACACATCCCTTAGAAGCAGCTTTGTACATTCTATCACATACATTATCCACCATCATCTTCTGAATAACCTTCTTGACATCTTGAACTTTTTGTCCTTTGAATCCATCCACCAACATGACCTGTAAAAAAAAAAAATAAATCAAGTCCTGTGATTGATGTTTTGAGTTACAAGAAACAGGAGCAACAGCTCTTCAGATCAACATAAAGAAATAGCAGTTGCTGTAACCTATGATGTGCAAAAAAATAGGAATAAAGGTGGTTTTTTTTCATTAAGTCATCTCTACCCAAAATGAGTTTGTATATATGTCAGCAGGCACACAAGCAACCCAACACAGACAGTCAGAAATAAATATTGCTGCCAGCTTACAAGAAAACAGCTCAGAAATACATCATAGTAAACCAATACACAAGTAAAGAGAAGAAGGGGGAAAAAAATCAAACCAAAATATCCACACCATGTTGCTCTTTTCATATCAGTTTCCAAAACAATACTTGTAAGAAAAATGATCAGGTCCCCAGAAGGTGATAACTTGCTAGGAAATCATGATCATATCAGTTTGCCATCCTACATTCTTCCATTCTCTAATTCTACACAACACCCCCAACTGCAGAACCTTACTGCAGGGGAAGTCTAAAGGGAAAGTAGTCTGGGGAAAAAGGAAAAAAAAAAATTACATCTTCTTTCTTGCAGTCTAGTTTCTTTTTTAAATTCTTTACCTTTATCCAATTTTCTTTTCCTCCTAAGCAAACTCAGCAAGAAAACACTTATCAAAATCTTTTATTACTTACTCCCTCATAAAATCCTTGCAGGTACACTCTCTCCTTGGCCTCAGCAAGCTTCTCTCTGTCATTCTGGCTCTGGATTTTGAGCTCATCACAGATAAATGGAGCACAAAGGTTGCCATAGCCTGGGATTTCAATGATGGGCACCTGAGTTAACAAAAGAGTGTCAGATATTCAGTTCAAATTATCACAAAGATTTATTTCCCAAATTTTGCAAGCTTCACCAAAAATGATGCATTGAACACACCAGAGACATGCATATTTAGCTTGGTTTGCAGTCCCTAGGCAGACCTAGGAGTCTGAACAGGGGATTATGAAGGGGAACAGACAGTCCTTAACAGCTGCCTGAAAGTGTGTGTGCTACAGGGCAGCTGGGCCAAAAGCAGTGTGAACCAAAGAACCCTGGCAGCAGCAGAAGCAGGTGCCTGGGCTGTCCAACTGCTGCTGGACCCAGCTGCTGAAAAAACTGCTGCCCATGCACTTGCAGCACCAGATACTCATCCAGTCACCTCTGAAGTATTGGTGCAACTTCACCCATCGAATCCGGAATTCCTGTCAGTCCCCAGTGTGACTCCTGACCCACCCTCCTGTAGGCAAGAACCCCAAAGCACCTCCTGACACCACGCTGGGCTGTGCCAGTCCTGGGGCCAGCATGTGGAACCACTGCAGAACAGTGGGATGGCTCCACCTCTAACCTGTGCTTTCTAACAAAAACTGGCTCAGCCACGAGTCTGCATTAACAGTGAGGGAACTTTAGCTGTTAGCATAGAACAGCTACAACACCAATCTAGCCATTAAGGCTGTAAGCTTTAATCAACCAACAGGTCATCAGTATAACGATGAAATCCATTCTCCAAGGATGAATACACTCCTTTATCTCTAAAGTACAGCATGGAGTAACAAATCTCAGTTGCAACCCCTCACAGACCAAACATTACACCTATAGCAGAACAGGAGAACTCTGAACTTTGCAGCTCTTTCAGCTGGGGAGGGCTTTAAATGGACATTCTGGAAAAGGAAGGCATGGGTCTGGGCACATTTCCCACCAGTGAATACAAAGCCAGAGTACTGCAGATGGACACACATGGATGTACCTACTGGTTCAAATGGCAGGACCATTTCATCTTTGATGCCATACTTCACCCTCAAAGCCTTTGAAAGAAAAACAGAGGTAAAATACAGAGCAGAAATTTTCTAGATTTAAAGGTTTTCATCCATTCATAGGGTATTTTTTGTACATAAGATTTTATTATAAAGTAGATAAAGCCAATTCCCCACCTTCCCTTCATTTCTCACACCTGAGTTTAACACCCTCCTCATTTTCAGGTCATTCTTTGTCATAACTGTCTACATTCTCAAGAGGTGAAGAAACAGTATTGCTCTAGCCTGAAAATAAGTGGGATGAAAATTCAAGAGGCAGAGACAGCTGTTCAGACAATGATGTACTCTTAAGCTGTAATAGCAACAGCTAACTTAAACCTCATTTGAAATTCACACAAAGGTCTCAATCTCATCTGTGGAAGGCATTTCCACAAAAGGAATTTATTTCTATTTCACTGGTATCCTTCTCTACCCTAACATGCAGCAGAAGTTACATGACTCTCATCCAAAACTCTTCCTGAAGTCTGAAAGAAACACCTATCCCAGCCCAGCTGGTTTTAACTTCATTTATTTTTAACTACTTTGATTTCAAACTAGAGATGGCCAAACTGCAGTTAAAGAGAATGTCATTTTACCCACTGGATATCCACTTTCAGCCCTTCACACGACAGAAAGGGAACAGAAGCAATTCAGTTACCACACCAACCTGCTTTTTTTTCAAGTCTCTCAGGGCGGCAATGTCATCCGGAGAATCCGAGGGAACGCTTGTTACCACTCCAGTTCCTTGAGAACAGATCAGAGGATTAATCAACATGTACTGAATGCAGAGTGCACATGGAATGGGCTCTGGCAAGAGGCTGCTGTGAAGGTACCTTTGTCCTCCTTGATGGTGAGCATGGGAAGGGCATAGATCACTTTGTAGGTGGTGAGAGGTGCCGAAAGCGCAGCGCCGAGGATCTCCTACACAGGATGAAGGAAGATGTCAGAAGGAGCAGCACCTCTCCAGCCTAGCTGAGGGAGCTCTGCTGGCTGGCAGGCTTTAAACCTGCTGGCTTTCCTCACACATCACAGACAAACCAACTGAAAGGTCAGCTGCAAGATGCTTACTTCTCCCATCAGCTCCTTGACAACAGGCACGACTCCGTTATCTCTGGTGAAGCCCTGGTAGGACATGTTCCTGGCAGCTCTCTGGGTGCAGATGAAAATATCCCCATCCACAGTTTCAAAGCCAATGTACTTCATATCCGGGCGAACCCAGCAGTTGGTCTGCCCAAACATGGTCTCTGGTCGGAGCGTAGCAGCCACCAAGAAGATATTTTTTCCTCTTAGGCCACTGGGAGGAAAAAGGTATTTTATAAGTCAATAAAACCAAAACATTTGGGGCAATACAGGACATGCTTTTAAGCTAATATGATCTTTGGAGTAACATTTCCTAAGGGATGAAAGTGGGTCACTAAGATCCTTGCATGGCTTTTGTTGGTGTTGTGCTTTGTTTTGTTTTTTAAACTCCACAGACTAGCAAATGTAGCAGCTCAAAAGAGAGAGCAAGTCTTTGAAGTGACAGAAATAACAGGGTAAAATTAAATTCTGCTTCAGACAAAACAGACTAATTCAGTGTTCACTTTCAGCCATAAGATAGAACCTATTTGCTATTACAAATTCAAGACCTACCTTAATTTTGCAGGATAAGGATCTAACACTTTCATCTTTATCAGGGTGTACTCCTGAGGCCCGACACCCTACAGTTCACAGAAATAATGCAGTAATCAATACCTGACATTAACTCAAGCAGCAAAGAAAATAAATCCTATTCTGCAGTAACCTAACCCAAATGCTGTAAGGTACTGATGCATTCTCCAAAGTAAATTGTATTTCCATTGGTACAAATGTGTTTACTAAAATGCACACTAGAGAGGCTACATATTATTCTTGTGTCCAAAAATTTACTCATCACAGTGCTTATCTCAGCAACATAAGTTAATAACAGCTTATTTTTTGTTCCAGAGAGATAATGATGAACATAGTGATGCTGCTAGCACAAATTGCTAAATAACCACAGAAAACAGCTACAATGGAAAATACAATCCACTGTTCAAGACAAATATTCTCAATAGAGTTCATTCAATTTTCACATGTGCTGACAAGTGAGAATTGATAACTATGTACAAAATGCACCCTGCTTCAAGACACAATTTATTTTTCCATTCAGTATTTAAGATCATAAGCAATACATACAAATGTCAATTAACAACATTACCTCTCCTGTTTGCCTGTCGTGATCCATGCAAGGCTGTCCATCTTTTGGAGAATAAATTGTGTACCTAGAAAACAGTATGTTTGCATTTAGTAGCAAATACCATAACATGTAGACCAAGAATGATCCAAGGGCTGGAGCAGCTCTGCTGTGAGGATACGACTGAGGGAGTTGGGGCTGCTCAGTCTGGAGAAGAGAAGGCTCCAAGGTGACCTTATTGTGGCCCTCCAGTATCTTAGGGGGGCTACAAGAAAGCTGGGGAGGGACTTTTTAGGATCTCAAGTAACAACAGAACTAGAGGGAATGGGGCAAAGCTGGCAGTGGGCAGATTCAGGCTGGATGTGAGGAAGAAGTTCTTCACCATGAGAGTGGTGAGACCCTGGAATGGGTTGCCCAGGGAGGTGGTTGAGGCCCCATCCCTGGGGGTCTTTAAGGCCAGGCTGGAGGAGGCTCTGGGCAGCCTGATCTAGTGGGAGGTGTCCCTGCTCATGGCAGAGGGGTTGGAACTGGGGGATCCTTGTGGTCCCTTCCAACCTTGACAGATTCTGATCTGTTTTGGCAGAGGACTTTGGAGCCCTGGTGGCTCGGTGGTTGGACTTGATGATCTTGGAGGTCCCTTCCAACCTAAAGGATTCTATGATTCTTTATGAAAAAGAGAAATCTCTCTTAATGGTATTTTCAGATTTTGCAAGAGCTTTCAGTATGGGCCCTGTTCTGCTTTGAGCTGGTACCCATGGAGAAACTACAAGAGGAAGACAACCTCATCCACTTTGCTACCACCACACACTCTACTGCACAGTGCCTAACACAGCGTTTGCAGTGGAAGGATTCTAGTTTAACATGAGTTACAGACACCTTCTAGGGACATCTCACAGGGTTCCATGTTTAAGCTCATACATATTCACAACAAGCTCAGAGCTGAGTGCAGGCTTACCTTTTCCCAAACTTAATCTTATTTCTTTCCTTTAATGTAAGGAACTGCCATCGCACAAAGGAATCATAGTAAGGATTCACATCTGTAGTAATGAAGGAGCGTCTCCAGTCCACCTGGAAACGTGTTAGAGTCCCAGGTAAATAAATACAATAAAGAAATTCAAGGAACCTCACAACAAGACTATTATTTTTAAAATAAAAAGAAGTTTCTCTCCTATACGGTAATGCAAGCACACACGACACAGAGGGTGCATGCTTACAAACACAACTCTGCAGTCTGTGTGTGCACAGGCTTTGAGAGCTGAGATGTCAAAGACTCAAGGCCCCTTCTGCTGACTGTGAATTTTAGTAGTTTTTGTGGTAGCTTTAAACAACCACTCAAGCTGAATTTCAGCAGTACCTTGCCTCATAACCTCTATCTGCCTTTCTTTTGAAAATCTGTTGTCAGTCAGGCAAGTATCTTTATTTAATATCACACCATTACTATTCCTAAAGCTACAGCCAATACTGACTACAGAGCAGTTGTCCAGCATGGGAACAAGAGTGAGAGTCGTGGCTCCTTCACTCAGCTCTCCTTGCCCACTGCAATCACTGCACAGGGTGTCAGTGCTACAGAAGCAAGTGTTCAATCATCACCCAAGACTATTAAAGGTTCAATGAATAATTCCATAAATACCAGAAACATTTCTAGCATAACTGAGCTCTAGATTTTACGCAGTTACCTTCAGCCCCATGCTTTTCAGATCCTGGACAGCAAGGGGAGGGAAATAATCCAGCCAGTGCTCAGCTTCAGAAAAACGGACTACTTCTTCATCAGAAAGACCCAGAGCCTTCATGATTCCCCACTGGTATTTGGAAGAGCCAGTCTTGGCAGCAGCCTTACTCTGAAAGGACAACAGAAATTAGGAAATTGTACTCATGATAGCTTTATATGCTTCAGAGCTTTTTTCACTAAGAGCTTTTTCCCTCTATTAAAGTCACGGTTTCGGTTTCCAGATATCCCAGTCAGTATAATATCCTGGTGTCCTTTCTCTAGCAGTGAAGGATAATGATTAGAGTTTCTGATCTACACTTCTTCCTCACTTGGACCCAACAGTCGTATGCTAATCCCCCTTTTTCCAGCTGCTCAGTGCTGAGCTCTATCTGACCCCTCTGCAGAAGAGTGGGCTGCAAGGAACAACCAGTTCACTGAGGCCCTGGTCAAACAAAAGGGTGTTTGCACCAGGAAAAGGTTGAACACTCCTGCACTATATCCTTGTATCAAAAAACTTTGTGGCTGTTACTTTGCTCACATTCTTTGTTCCAGCAATTGTGCTTTGAATATCTTTATGTCTGTACCCAGCTGTAACTTACATCCTGCAAGAGGAGCAAGATCACACCTTCTGTTATGTAGAGGAAACAGAATCCCAAATCTAATGCTTCCAGTCTGACAATCTCTTCATCATGCATAAATATATATAAATATCTATTTTTTTTCCTAGACTTGATGCTTTTCCTTGATCTGTGATACTCCCAAAATCACAAATCTTATTTAAACATTTGATAAGTCAAAATAGTTAGGCTAAGAAGTAAAATCATCCCATCTAGCCAGAATAGGCCAGATGCCAATTCACAAGAGCATCATCAGAAGAGCAGGTGTATGTAACCCCTGCCTCTGAGGA